CAGAGACAGAAACAAGGGGAGTGACACAGGGAAGTCTGCTTTTGACCAGTCCTCAGCAGGGGGTTTACCCCAGGAGGAATATCCAGCAGGGCGCCGGAGGCTCATGGCTGCACCTTAGGCAAAAGTGCTGGTTTGGCACTCATTCATAACAAATTTGGTCCAGGAGAGTTGTCCCTTCGTGTGGTTGCCAGAAATGTTACGTGCCAGTCTGAAATGTTGTGGGTCAGTGTTGAGGGTTCTTGCCTTCACAGGCCAGAGAACTGTGAGGCAGCTGATTGACTCATGAGACAAGGCTGGTACACAAAGTAGATTTATTAGAGAAAAAGGAAAGGCTACAGCTAGAGCAGTACAGTGGAGCCTGGAAACTGGTGGCTCCCTGCTTAGGTGAAGGCTGGAGCTTTTTGTGGATGCTTTAATTCAGGGTTAGGTGGGTTTTCCCATTGGCCATGGATTCGTGCGTGCAGGTCCTCTTTGATGAGCTGTCGGTTTCCTTATGGGGGAAACTTCCTTGAGAACATTCTGTTTATCAGCCCTGTAGCAGATTAATGAGACCATGTATCCCCTTCTCGGTGCAGAATGCAGATTTATAACTCCTCAGGGTGCAGGGCTCATAGTGCTCTCCGTGGGGGATGGGATACTCATCTGTCTGTTACGTTCCCAGATTCAACAATTCCAATAGATCCCTAGCAAGATACCATTCTTGCTATTATCACCCCTTTTATTACTCAGCTTTAAGCTTCGCACACTCCACCTGGCTCATGTGCCTTTCTTTAGCTACTCTTTATCCCTTGCTTGACCACATATTCCATGGTCCATCATTATAACCATTCTGTTATATAATTCTTGACTGTTTGTACTTGCTCATAAATCATGACTGGCAAAATAGACTTATTATTCTGGAGGAAAACACATAATAACTGATTTCATCTTAAATTCATTGCCATTACTTTTAAGTAAGTCCTAAGTGTACTCCCCTGTTATCCTTTTTACTTTTTGCCATATTGGAAATTAAACTTAGGGCTTCTTGCTTGCTAGGGAAGTGCTCTACCATACTCTGAACCCCACTTTTTGTTTGTTTTTTAGATGCGTTACCAACTTTACCCAGACTGGCTTAGAGCTTGTGATCTTCCTGCCTCCCCCTTGCTGAGCAGTTAGAATTACAGGCATGAGCCACTATGCCCAGCTTCTACCCCATAGTCCTAATTATTCCATTCTATTACTCTTCTACTCCCCTACCTGACAGTTTCACACATTCTTCTCTCTCTCCACTCTTTTCTCTTAGTTGATAACTGTACCTCATTGTTCACTGAGAAAACTGCAGCCAGAAGAGCACTTCCACAAACTTGTATCTACCTGCATCTATGGCCATCTGCCTGCTTTCCCTTTTACTAGGGATGCATTATCCATATATGTCTTCTGAATCTTAATCGTGGTCTTGTGTACTGTATCTCCTCTCTTCTACTCAACAGTTTTGCTCCCAGCAAATTGGGTGCCTATCTTGTACCTTCAATAGTTTTCTTTTTTGCTACATCATTGTCATCAGTGTTCAAGCATGCTGAATTTTTTCTTATCAAAAACAAAAACAAAAAACCCCAAAATCTGGTTTCTCTCCTATCTTACTGATCTTTCCTTCTTAATCTCCTTTGTTTCTTTATATTTCTTTGACCTCTTAGTAGTCCCTGACCACAAACCTTGAGCCAGCCATTTCATTTTTCTGTGTTTTTAATCCTTCAGTGATCTCATCTATCTCATGACTATAACTGCCATCTGTAACATTGATTACCAAGTATATCTGCAGCCAAGACCTCACTACTATCTAGTTGGCATCTCTTCTTGGATGTGCAGTAGGCATCTCTTGGGGGGAGACACCAAGACCTTGTGCATGTTAGGCAGAGGCTCTACCACTGAGCTACATACCCAACCCTCGAATAAGCATCTCTTAATTGAACTATTCAAAGCCTAAATCCAGACCCTTAATTCCAAACTTACTTGTCTCTTTGTTGTGTTTACCTCAGTGAACGACACTCAACCATTTAACTACTCAGATCACAGATCTCATTGTCGTCCTTGACTTTAGTCTATGTAATCAAATCCTCTTGGCTTTACCTTTGGAATATATCTAGACTATTCCCTTATCACCTCCTATTCCATTTTGGCCCAAGGCAGTACCTCTCACCTGGATATTGCAGTAGCTTCTTCTCTGGATTCTCTGCTTCTGTCCATGCCCTCTTTTCATATATTCACAATAGAGTGATTTTTTAAAAGTGAAAGTTCCAGCCTGGTGTGGTGGTTCATCCCTGTAATCACTGCTCTTGGAAGGATGAAGAAGATCATGAATTCAAGGACAGCATGGACTACATATGGAGACCCTGTCTCAAAGAAAGAAAGAAAGAAACAAATCCCCTCTTCATTTTCTCCAGCCACATTGGCCTCCTTCAGACCCATGTCCTTTTTTTTTAAATTCGGTTTGAACTCAGGACCTCATGCTTGCTAGGTAGGCACTCTACCACTTGAGCACTCGGCCAGCTCTTTTTTGTGTTGGATATTTTTGAGATGAGGTCTCATTTCTCTCTCTCTCTCTCTCTCTCTCTCTCTTGCCTGGGCTGCGCCATGTCATTTTTGTACTTGCTGTTTCTCTTCCTAGAGAATGCTTCCTCCAGATATTTGCCTGCCTAGCTCCTTCACTTCCTTCAGGGCTTTCCTGAATGTCTTTTCTTAGACTTCCTGTCAAACCTTACCAAGATGATGACCTCCTCCAGTTACACTTCTTATCTTATTTTGCTGTATTTCTTCCATAGTTATCAGAATCTGAGTTTTTTCTTTTATTCTTTGCTCCTATTCTGTTAATCTCTATGAAGGTAGTCTTTTGTTGTTGTTGTTGTTTTGTTTTTTAACCCAGGGCCTTGAGCCACTTGCTTTAGTTATTTTTCAGATAGGCTCTTGCAGTTCTTTGGACTGCAGTTTTCCTACCTATGCCTTCCTCATAGCTGGGATCACAGGTGTACACCATCATGCCCTGCTTATTTGTGATGGGGTCTTGTTAACTTTTTGCCCTAGCTGGCATCAAACTGTGTCCCTCCTAATCTCAACCTCGTGGGTTGCTCGGATTACAGACTTGAGCCACCATGTCCTGGACTTCTTGCTGCGTTGCAGATGCTGATCTTTTTTCAGTTCTGTTTATACCATGTTCACTTGTGTCTTAGAACTTTCATGCATTTTATTTCTCTTGGAATACTTTCTTTCTCTGTTCCCTTCTCTTCTTAGTTTAACAACTTTCCCTGCCTCTTTCTCTTCCTAGTTTAACTACTTCTCATCCTATAAATAGCAGCTCAAAACTCTCACAAAGAAATCTGCATTAGGACCCTGCGATATTCTCTCTTAGTCATGCTATTTGATTTCTGTCTGACTAATTAAACTGAAAACTCCACAAAGACAGGAACCTTAAGTGTACCGTTTTCCAATGTATGCATCTGAAATGAATACTCAATATGTACTCATTGAATGCTTTGTTCTACCCCTAATATTCTGCCTTGGGGAAGTGTCAGGTAAAATGTAGATTATAAAATAGATTGTAGATAAAATAAAAGATTATCTATGTTTAGGAATGGTAACCTAGCAAAACATCCATACCATGGTATAGAATCAAGCACAATGGGAAGTATAACATAACTTAGCGTTGTTGGCAAATAGTGGTTAAAAGTGAACCTTTTATTTCTAGTTGACATTCTGTGAGAAGATGTGAATTCAGATAGAATCTTCCTCAAGAAATTGTGGTTTGGAGTCACTAGGGAAGCATGTGTATGTATTGATTGGTATTCTTGTTGACGTGGAGGGCATGTAAATGACCCAGTGCATTTAGTTACTTTAATACTTAAAAAAAGCAAAAATACTTTTGTTAATCAATAGTTAGTTTTGTCAGTTTTACTTTTGAAAAGTACTTGCTTGACAAAGTTAGCAATTTTTCATTTTGGAGGTGTTTTTGAGGATTCATAATATACCTGAAAGTATTTCAAAGTGAATTTACATTTTATTATTAGTATTACTATTATTAGTTGTGGGATTGGGTAAATAATAAGTTTCTTGTTATGTTTTCTCATTGAAAAGTGGGGATAAAATTAGTATTGATCCTAACAAGTTATCTTGGGAATCAGATGCTATAGCAATGCAAAAAAGCCTGGCACATACAGTGTTAACCTAAATGTTCACTATAATGTTGACTGTTACTGTTTCCAATTGTTTGCTTTAAAGTTTCAAAGGGCTTTGATTTTTAAGCAAATACAGAGAATCTTAAGAGTTCAAAGTCTAGTTTTCCTTTGTGATTTTGGCACTTTTTAAAGCACTTTTTCATTACCTTTACTACCATAGTTAATTCTATAGATATTTGGAATAATGGTATTTGTACAGGTTTTTAAATAATTGATGTTTTATAGAGAGCACTACAATCAGCTGCTAAATAGAGTTGCATAATCTCCTTTCTCAGAGAACATTAGAACAAGATGTGTGTTTCAGATGATTCTAAAGGAATACTGATGTCCTTTGACCGTCATTCTTGGAATGATGGATGACTGCTTCTCCTAAAATGTCCTTTGTTCCCTTATCTTCATTGCAGTTTGGTTGATAGCATAGGTCTATCTGTCCCTTTCTGTGCAGTCTGTAGTGAAGTGCACAAAATGGCAGAGAAGGGTGAAAGCCCTTCCACTGTCTTGCATACTGCCTGAGAAACAGTAGTATATACTCACTAAAATACTAATGTAGTGTAAAGGGCAGTAAGAATCAGCTGATTGTTTATGGGAGTATGACCGTATCTGTGTCACCAAAATTTAGGCTTTGTGTAAGAGAACTATGTTACGTATATGAGAGACCAAAACAATAGTAAAAGACATTGCAGATGAATTTAAGTGGAGCCTATCACAATGATTTTGTGCTCTGTTTATTTGCAGGGATGACTTGGGGGTATAGTAACCAACACTAAAATAAGTGTAGCATATATTGTCTTTCAGATTTACCAAAAATTTATCTCCTGACAAGATAAATCTAAGTACCCTGAAAGGAGAAGGTGAACTGAAGAATTTGGAGCTGGATGAAGAGGTGCTCCAGAATATGTTGGATTTGCCCACGTGGCTTGCTATTAACAAAGTTTTTTGTAATAAAGCATCCATTAGGGTAAGACTTTTATGTCTGTGGAGGGTCGTTTCTGTACTCATTTTTTATTTTACCTTTGTCCTTTGAAATACATACTTTTGTTAGATAACTCTATAAAAAAGCATTTAATTAACACAATTTAGAAAAAAATGTCTGTATAAACAATTGTGACTGTGTACCTTATGAATGTTATTGAAGTCTTACATTAATATATTATTTATAAATTTTGATTTTGTTTAAAACTTAATTTCATTATATTTTAAGTAAAATCACCTGTAATAAAATAATTGCTGCAACTTGGCATATTTATGCAGCGTTTTCTTCCATAGGATTTATTGTCAAATGGGACAATTTAAATTTGTAGTGAGTAAGTACTGTATCTCAAATGAAGACATATATAACAACTGTATTTCTTACATATATGTTATGGTTTTATTTGGAATTTTATCTCTTTTCATTTGTTTCTTCTTCATTTTGGGAAATTTTTAAAGTTTTTGATTTGCTATTATCACCATCCCTTTGTTCTTATTTTTGATTGTAGTCATGTGCTGACTTGTATCACTTCTTGCTCTTAAAGACCAGGCTTAGATTGAGAATTTGCATAGTAGAAATACCAAATGTTGATTTTTTTTTTCATAAAATTAAGTTAGTTTTATAAGGAAAGATTATGGAAGTGGATACTGTTTCCTTTGGTGGTCACCTTTAATTATGGTCTGTCTTCCATAAACCCAAATAGTGCAAGGTGTGTTTGAACATTATTTATTTGATATTGCCTATATTTTACATTAATGGCCTTTGTATTTGTTTTGAATGGCTGTAGAAATATTGGTCAGAATTCCAGGATTAAACAAATTTTCATGAGCAGAATAGTGACCATGCTTTCCTAAGAATTCTTAACTTTAACTTATGAAGTTAAAATATGTCTTAAGGACTAAGAAAAACAGATAGCTAAAATAACTTGAAGGTCTTATTTAAAAAGCTGACTAAGCAAATATAGCTAGTAATATTTTCTTATATGAAATAGATAATGTAATTTCAAAATTACGAAAAAGCTAATCAGTTTATTTTGTATTCTGAGAGAAAAGCCGTCTGTTACAGGTTAGTGTCTATCGATACATAAAAAGAACATCTGTGTTGATAATGTTTTACACTGTTTTTTAATAATTCACTTTAAAGCAATATTTCTATTTATAGATCCCATGGACAAAACTGAAAACACATCCTATCTGTTTGGTGAGTTCTGAAACTACCTCAAAAACAGGCATTTATAAATTTTAATCTTTTGTTTTCATGAAAACGATTTCCTGAATTATTTCCCACCCATTAGTTTTCCTTTTATTTTGATTGGACTTAGTTTATTTTTGTTTTTGTTTTTTGGGACTGGGGCTTGAACTCAGGGCTTCACGCTTACAAAGCAGGCTCTCTGCCACTGGAACTACACCTCCAGGCTGTTTTGCTCTGGTTGTTTTGGAGATGAGGCATCTCGTACTATACGTAGGCTGGCCTCAAACCGTGATCTTCCCAGTCAGCCTCCCAAGTAGCTAGAATTACAGGTATGAGCCACTGAAGGTTGGCTGAACTTTATTTTATTTAAAAAAATTTATTAGTGTAAATTAATTGTGCAAAGGACTTTCATTGTGATATTTCCATGTATGCATATAATGTACTTTGATCAAATTTATTCCCTCTAATATTTTTTCTGAACCCCCTTTCATGCCCTCCCCCCCTTAAACAGTTTTTAGTGGGTTTCATTATGTCATTTTGCTATTTTCTTATGTAAAGAAGTGTAAGCTCTCTTTTTCTTTTTTGGTACTGGCATTTGAATTCAGGTCTTCACACTTGCTAGGCAGTGTTCTATCATTTGAGCTACACCTCCACCCCAAGAAGTTTGACCTTCAAAATGAGAGAATATTTAAAGCTTTTCAGGTCTAGAATTTGGTGTTCTTAGTTGGTCTGTTTTATTGGGTCATTTAGTTCTTTTTTGACATACTATAGAATTCTTCTTTTAATAACATTTGATCCAGTGCTTTTTTTTCTGTGCTTTTGCTTTTACTGCTTTGGTAAATTCAGTAATACATGCTTTAATATGCTTTGCTTTTTAAGGAAAATTAAATAAAATTGGTCATTCTATCATTTCTTGATTAATTACATAATTTTTTTGAAGTCCGTGGGCCTTGAGCATACTAAGCTGAGCTGTATCCACAGCCCATTCCACAGATATTTTCTGAGCACCTGCTCTTTATTCTGAGGGAACTTATGTTTTAATAAAGAAGACTGGACAAATAAAATAATTTGAGATAATAGTAAATGCTGGATATAAAATAAGAGAATGAAGAATGACTGGAATTATGGTAGGGATTATTGCTAAGGACATTAGATCTTCAAGAAAAAAATACCCTGAGAAAGAACTTTTTCCATTATGAGATGTTTATTTTTTCACATTTCTTCCTTATTTCCTAGTTTTCTTAATTAAAATAATAATTTTAGGTCTTAATCTCAGGTCTCAGTTGAGTTTTTTAGGTATGGTTCAGTCCTATTTGCTAATATATAATTTACCAATTAATAGGATTAGAGACTTCATAAAATATGATGATCACATCAGCTAGTTGCTACTTCTGAATTTTTTCTCCCATACTCAGAGTATGCATGCACAACTCCTCTACCAGATAATAAATGCCTTGAGATAGGACTGAAGTCTTTGCTTTCCTTTTTGGCATTTTTAGAACTTTGTTCCTAAATAAATGAAAGAGAAAATAGTCTTAATGTTTCTGTAATATACATAAAGTGAAGTAGCTAATTATTTACATGTTTGACTTTTTATTAGTCTCTAGATAAAGTAATAATGGAAATGAGTACATGTGAAGAACCACGAGCTCCTAATGGCCCATCACCAATCGCAACTGCCTCAGGACAAAGGTAAGGTATGTCCTTTAATCTGTGGTCTGCCTAAGGTGTTCTTTTCTATAGTCAGTTCCAGTTATGACAGTAACAGGATATAAAGAAATTAAAATCTTTTTACCTCATATAGCTTCTATTTCAATCATCTTCCCATCAGACATTTTATAGATTTAGTTATATATATTGCAGAAGTAGGTGAATTTTAGCTTCTTTTATTCTTCATGATTTTCATACTTTTAAGTAGTATGATTAACCAAGGGCAGAGCCACAGCAGAAAATGGAAGAAGAGCTGGTTGCTGATGGTTCATGCTTGTAATCCTAGCTACTCAGGAGGCAGAGATCAGGAGGATTATGGTTGGAAGCCAGCCCTGGCAAATAGTTTGTGAGACTCTATCTTGAAAAAACCCTTCACAAAAAAGAGCTGGTGGAGTGGCTCAGGGTATAGGCCCTGAGTTCAAACCTCAGTACCAAAAAAAAGAAAATGGAAGAAGAATTTAGGCATTCTATAAATGAGGTAATCCCTTAATTTCTGAAGATTGTAGTTTTCCCTTATCTATGGTTTTACTTTCTGTGGCTTCAGTTACCCATGGTCAACCACAATCCAAAAATATTAGATGGAAAATTCTAGAAATAAATAATTCATAATTTTTAAATTCCATGCCATTATGAGTAGCATAAAATTTTGAACCATCCAGCTTGGGATGCAAATCGTTCTTTTATCCATGCTGTATAGGCTACCCACCTGTTAGTCACTTAGTAGCTGTCTGTGTTAGCTGGACCTTTAAGGAATCATAGTGCTATGATCAAGTAATCTTTAGATTGTAGTGTAACACTAAGTCATTTGCCTCACTTCATCTTGTCACATGGCTTTGTATCATCTCACATCACAAGAAGGTGTGTACAGTACATTAAGATATTTTGAAAGATCATATTTGCATAACTTATGGTATATTGTTACAATTGTTCTTTTATTATTACTTATTTTTAATCTCTCATTGTGCCTAATTTATGACTTGAACTTAATCATAAGTATACATATATAGGAAAAATACAGTATATGGAGTTCAGTACTGTCTGGCTTTGTGCATCCTCTTGTGGGTCTTGGAAAATGTCTTCCTCAGATAAGGGGCACTCTTGTATTTTCTTTGCATATAATTTTTTATGAATCAGTAAAACTTTTATGATTGTTAAACATTAAATGATGCCTTAATAAATGATAGATCTTTGGGTGTATTCTAAAGTTCATTAAATATAAGATGGTCATACTTTTCACAGATTGGATTTTGATAGATTAAATTCAGATACTGAGAAGGTTGAACCACTAGGACCATTTCATTAAACCTTGATAAGTTAAAGTAGTTCTTTAAAAGTGGCTCTTTAAGCCGGGTGTTGGTGGCTCAACCCACAATCCTATCTATGGGAGACTGAAATCTGGAGTATCCAGTTTGAGATCGGCTCATGGAAAAAAGTTCATGAGATTACCCCCCCCCCGCCCCGCCCCAACCAAAACCTGAGCATGGTGGTGTATTTCTGTTATCTCCAAAATAATCAGAACAAAAAGGACTGGAGGTGTGCCTCAAGTGGTAGAGCACCTGCCAAGCAAATATGACGACTTGAGGTCAAACATCAGTATAGCAATGCCCCCTTTACCCTACCCCAGAAAAAAGAGAAATGGTTGTTTAAAAAAAATTACATGTTTATTTTGCATTCAATAAGTTTGGATTGGGCTAGGAATGTAGTTTAGCAGTAGAATATTTGTCTAGGTCCTGAGTTTGATCTTCAGTACTGCAAATGAATAAAAAATAAAAATAAATTTGTATCTTGTACTGTACATCATTTCTATAAGGCAAGATTTCTGCATTATTTTTGGAATTATATAAAATGCTCACATAGATTTTAATGTGACCAGTGCCTCCTCAAGTTATGATATTTACAGTGTTCTAGGTGCTGTATAAAGCCATTGATAAAATTATTCTTGAGGGTGAATGTGGTCATGTGTATACACAATCACTCTCCTACACTCCTTCACTTCCATTAAGGTCAAATCACATTTATGTTAGTGCGTTCTATGATAATACCTACAGACTGGTGAATAACTTTTCACATGAGTATCTGACGTTGACCCATTCCACTAAGAGCTGACTGGAAGCCACATTTATCATATGTATAGTTTGTATTTGACATTGGGTAATGAGGACTGGGAAAAGGCCTTTCATATTTCTTTGTATTTTGCATCCCATCCACCAATTTGAAATTTTAAAGTTCAGATTATGAATTCAGGTTGACAGAATTGTTGGTCTTTAGATTGGCTGGAGTCAGAAAGAATTGGAGGAAAAAAGCAGAAATGTGAAAGGGGAAAAGAAAAATCAGTATTAAAACAAGACTTCAATTAAATGTTGCAGAATTAAATGAGAAAGAAATTTAATTAAATGAAAGACTTATTTTAATTAAATGAACCATTTTTTTCCATGTGTGCTTAGTGTACTTGAGAGTGTTCTTCCTAATTCCTGTTTTTATGCTATCAATAAACTTTATTATTCTGGCTTTGTAACCATGGTGGTAATCCTTTTACTTCGACATTTGGCATCATGGTTAATCTATTCCAATATTTAACACACTTGCCCAATTGTAAGAATCATTTGAGGTGCTTATTAAATCTACAGTCTTTCAAGCTTCTTGAAATTGTGATTCAGTACATCTGTAGTGAATGTCAAAAATATGAATATGTATTTTTAACAATTCTTTATAGTCACGCAACTCATAAAAGTACTGATCGCTCTGATTTTGTTTCTAGCTGAGAGATTAACATAGAGAAATTACTAAGTAACAGGTTTGTCTTTCCTGCTGGGTGGAGGGGCGTGGGATGATAATGTTGCATAGATTAATGGTCTAGTAAACTTGGTAAATTCAGAAAATTGATTTTGTCACTTCCTGCAGAGATAGCCATCTCCATAAGGATTAATCAACTCAGAAGAGATCTGTCTGAACATGGCATGGTGGTACATACTTATAATCCTAGCATTTGGGAGACTGAGTCAGGCAGATTGTAAATTCAAGTGCAGCCTGGTCTACAAAGCAAGGCCTTGTCTCAAAAAGAGAGAAGAGAACCATTTGTAAACAAATTTTACCTTTCTAATTTGTGTTGAACTACATAACCTAAAAAATGGAGAATTTAGTCATTGATTCAATCTTCACCTATAATGTTTATTTGTCTATAGAGGGGGATTAAGCCTAGGGCCTCATGCATGCTAGGTATGCTTTCTAGCCCTGAGCTAACTCTCAGACCCATCTGTTCTAGTTCTGTGTACTTTTTTTTTTTTAGTGGTACTATGGTTTCAACTCAGGGTCTTACACTTGTGAGGCAAACTCTCTACCACTTGATCCATGCTTCTTGCCCTCTCTATATAGTTTTAAATGTTAGAATGCAGGTTGAGAGTACACCTCAGTGGTAGGGCACATGCTTAGCATCCAAAAGTCCCTGGATTCAATCTCTAGCACTCAAAAAAAAAAAAAAAAAAAGCAAACTGTTGGATTATTCTAAAGGATGCTCCAGCGTAATCATTATAGAAATGGTCTTTCTAACTAAGAAGTTTTCTAGTTAAGGATCTTCCCTGAGGAACAAAGCAGGTCTCCTCTAGGATGCCAGTGAGTTAATTGCTCTTGGTTTCTACATCCAGAGTGATTTACTATCCTATTTTATAGTGAAATTGAGTCAGTAATTATTTTTATTTTACAAATGAGGAAACTAAGGTTCATAGACTTTTAATAGTTTAATAATAATTTACTACTATTAGTAATACTATAAATAATGAGTATAAAGTATTCAACATTAGTTAAGAGACAGTATGTTTGGCTATGCATTATTTCATATAATCCATATATTATCTATGAAGTATTACCTGATTTAAAAGATGAGCCATCAAGCTGGGCTTGATATACACCTGTATACCAGGTATACACCTGTATTTACCTGTATACCTGGTGTACACCTGTAGTCCCAGCTATTCAGAAGGCTGAGGTAGGAGAATCACTTGAGCCCATGAGTTTGAGAACAGTGTAGATAACATTGTGAGACCTTGTCTTAAAAAAAAAGTTCACTTCAAGGGCTGATGGAGTGGCCCAATTGCTGAAAGTGTCTGCCTAGCAAGCATGAGGTCCTGAATTCAAACCCCAGTACCCCCCAAAAATTCATTTTGTAGAGGAAAAATACTGAGTTATCTGAGACTTAGAAAGTTTAAGTAATTTACCATTAATTAAAATAGGAAGTCAAGAAGAATGGTGGGATGGGGAAGGATGTGGAGAATGGGTTCACTTTTAGAAGTGTTGAATTGGAAATGTACTAGGCTACCAGGTGGTGCTATCTGGTGAGCATTTGAATTTCATAGTGTGAAGTCCCAGCAAGAGGTCTGGGTTGAAGACATGAATATGTACATTATGGGTGTGTTGATGGTAATGGAAGTGGTGGCCAGTTGGGTAAACCACTCCTTCCAAGACTGTGTTGATAGTCTGTGTTCCAGTCATAGTCTACTACTCATTCTTGAAATGAGACTTTGCTCATGCTTTCCTGTGTTACCAGGTTTCCTTCCTTTGCATTTCTTTCTGTGGAAAAAATGTGTTTCTCCTTAGTTAAAAGCAGTTTCTTCTTCTCCTAAGTATTCTGCTGATTCCTTTTGTTAAAGCTCTTGATTACAGATTGCCTTGTGTTAGTTATTAGGATATGTGGTTTCCTTTTTCCCCCAAGTAACTTATAAGCCCTATAAGGCTACAACTAATTTTTTTTTAATGTCCCAGCATCATTTACATAGTATAAATATTTATCGAATTGGAGAATATGAAGTTTTTTTCTGATCTTATTCTTAAATTCTGGCATTATATTCTGTCGCTTTTTTGTTACAAATTTAGCTCTCCTGTCTACTTTATAGATGCTAACTGACTGAGGCTTTTTGAGAGTTAACAGTTGTGGATATTGATGTTAGTAAAGTAATATAGAGAGTAACTCCAGTTTTTAAAATCTTTTACATTTTGAGATGTTTTTTCTTTTGATACAGGTTCTCACTATGTAGCCCTTGCTGGTCCTCCTGCCTCAGCCTCCCAAATGCTGGGATTAGATGCCACCAAGCCCAGCTTGAGGAGAACATTTTTATAATTTACATGTAACCAGTTTAGATTATTGTTTTAACAAAAATCAAATTTGTTCTTCTAACTAATATTAGGCAGTTTATATGTGTACTTGCATGCTTGCATGAGAATATTAACAAATAACTTTTTCTTTTAATGATTATTTTTTTGGCTTTAGTGCATTATATTTTGTTTGCTTGTTTTTCCAGTGAATACGGCTTTGCTGAAAAAGTAGTTGAGGGAATTACTGTTTCTGTAAATTCTATTGTCATCAGAATTGGAGCAAAAGCCTTCAATGCATCCTTTGAACTTTCTCAGCTAAGGATCTATAGTGTAAATGCAAACTGGGAACATGGAGATTTAAGATTTACTAGGATTCAAGATCCACAGAGAGGAGAGGTAAAGATTTTTTTTTTTTTTAAATGTTTTAGTCAGTGATAAATAAGACAAAGACATTTAAAATATGGCTTAGTGGTAAACCACTTGCTTAGCATGTGCAAGGCCCTGGTTTTGATTCCCAGGAAATGAATGAATGAATAAAATCTTAGGTTTCTCCATATTCACATACTACTAGCTTTCCTTTTCTTGTCTTTTAAATATGTTTTTCTTTGTATTATTCTTAACCATTTATTTATAAAATGTGTATATTTTAATGTTTAATGTAATAAATCTTTCACTTTGTAGAATTAATGGTCCCTATCTTAATTTTCACTACTTAAATGAATTTTAATTTTACAAAATATATTATTCAAGGCTTTTTGGTCATGTTTCAAGTGGTTTTTGTACTTTATGTTAAATATCTTAGAAAAAATGTATTAACAATTTTAGAAATGATGAATATAATTACAAAAATATGTTACTGAATTTGATGGAAGCATACAGTTTTAAAAATAAAAGCAGCATGATGAATATTTCTAGAATATCACAAAAATTAGTTGAAAGGTACATTTTTTGTTTTTTATAAATCTACATTTTTCTCATTTTGCATTGTGTGAGTATGTGAAGCTAATCTGTGTTCTCCTTAGGTTTTGACATTTAAAGAAATGAATTGGCAGATGATTCGAATAGAGGCAGATGCTACCCAAAGTTCACATCTTGAAATTATGTGTGCTCCTGTTCGATTAATAACTAATCAGTCAAAAATCAGAGTCACACTTAAAAGAAGAGTAAGTCAACTGGATTACCTTTTTGACCCATTTGTTAATTGTTAGAATTGGTAGGAAATTTTAACCAACTTTTTAGGTGAAATATTGGCATAGAATAATAAGTAGTTTATTAAAGCAGCACCAAGTAAAGGAAAGTAAAGTGTCTCAAGCAGGATTTGTAGAAAGCAAGTGTGATTATAACATTCTCTTTCAAATACTTGTGTGTTCAAAGATTTTTATTCTTTATGAATTAGATACATTTTTCGGTCTCCAAATACTATTTGAACATTTACTGTCTTATAATACATTTCATTTCTTGAGCTGGAAGTGTAGCTTGATGCTAGAGTGCTTAGTGTGTGTAAGATCCTGGGTTTGATCCTTTGCACAAAAAAAGAAGAAAAGTAATTTTATTTTTCCTATTGTGAATCTTGCTTGGGAATAGATAACCAGCAACACCTTCATTATTGGTAACCAAAACTCTTACTTTTAGTAAGTTATTAAAATGTAGCTGGTAACCTAGATAAATAAGGAAAATAGTACTTTAAGATATTGGAGCTTGAGAGCCCACTATGGTTAGAGATGGAACTTAATGAAGAGTGATGACTTTTATTAAATCATGTCTCATTTAAAGACTGAACAATATTTTTTGTATCTCTGGGCACAAATAACTATATCATGTTAAATCAAAAATATTTTTTCTCAGAGTATAGTGCTTAACATAGGTACTCTGAAATATACAATGTGGATAAAAGAGCATTTTAGTTTTTGATTAATTTTAATTCCCCTTTTAATTAACAGGTGATTATATCATTTGTCATCTATAAATGCAAAATTATAAGTACTATGTATTTGTACTTGTTGAAATATAGGAATTTGTCAATATTTTGTTAATACTCTTATCTCTATCACTAAGAGATGGTCTGTATTATAGGAACTCAATAAATGTTTGCTAAATGAAAGAAGTATGCATATTTAATTCTATTAAAAAACTGAACTTTTAAAAATAAAAGTATATTATAAGTTTTATTCTGAGTTTAATTTTATAAATCATTTTTTTCTGACAGTTGAAGGACTGCAATGTCATAGCAACAAAATTAGTTCTAATATTGGATGATTTATTGTGGGTTTTAACGGATTCCCAATTGAAGGCTATGGTACAGTATGCGAAATCTCTTAGTGAAGCAATAGAAAAATCAACAGAACAAAGGAAGAGTATGGCTCCCGAACCTACACAGGTATGATACAAGTTAACACAAAAAAGACTTCACATTAAATACTTTTCAAAATTAGAGTGGTTAGTTTGTGTTTTCTTTATATGAAATTGATTGTAAGACTGAGACTAAGAATCTTCTTTTCCTAAGTATCTTACTACTATAACTTTATTTACATAGAATATCTATGTAGATATACATAGATATGTATATTTGCACAGAAATATTAAGCATACTAATCTGTGTCTAGTGCTTTTGCTTGAAGCTCTGTATAAAGCACTAGAGATATTGATGACATAAAAATATCTGATGTTAAATTCCTGGATTTAGGAAAATAAAAAATACAATCTTAAAACTTCTAAAGTAAAGGAAAATGGGAATAAAACCTGGGTAATTATAGATGAGAGAGGGTGTGTGAGGCTTAATAGCACAGAGAATTAAAACTGTAGGGAGTTGCTGAAGTTGAAAACAAAACTGTTAAGAGTTTTCTGGTGGCAAAGGCAAAAAGTGTGGAAAGCATGAGGAGCTATTTAATCATCCCTTTCTTATAATCAAGAACATTCCTGATTTGTCTAAAGAGAAAAAAATTTTCTTCTTTTTCCCAATATTACATTCTGAGTGCTAATTTATGAAGATCTTAGTAGAAGGGACATGGAAACCGCCAGTGAGTAGTGTCTTTGATCATTTTGTCAAAAGTACAAGTGGATTTTATATTGACCCCTAATAAAAACTTAGAAAATATTGTAAAACCATACTTCTATGAAGCAATATTTTTGGAAGCAGAATAATCCTTCTTAAGGAGATAGCTTTTTGGTGGTCTGTCTTGATACAGGAGAATGGCATACATTTTAGGCTTTTGATGACTACCTAATTGGCATTGTTTACTGCATACCTGCTGTCACAAGGTGCAGAGGTACACTTTGTAATATAAAAATAAGTATCTTCTCACCCTGCTGGACCTTAGAATGTAATGGGGGAGTGAAATATGAAACATACTGTAATTGAACATAAATGTCAGGGTGAAGAAGTAAAGGAAGGTGAGGTGTAGGAGCTATAGAAGTACAGAGGAGTTTTAATTAACAGCCAAATTTGGAGAGGTTTAACGAAGAAGATAATGTGATTATGTCTTAAAAAAAAAGAGGAATACTTCATAGGCAAGCATGAAGGAAAGGTATTTCAGAAGAGAAAATAGAATCCACAAGTGTATTATGTTAAAGAACATTGGATTTTCTAATAAAGATAAGGAGATTGGTGTTACCAGAGCAGTGTTTTTAGGGGTGAGGTACACATACCCCTGGGGATGTATTACAACTTTCCAAGTTTTTTAGTTTTATATTATAAGGAAATTGAGTTCTACACCTTCCACCATTGTGCTTTTTCTTAAACTTGATCTGCCTGAGAATATGCTTGTTGTAAGCATATTCCTTTTCCATAATTGCTCTTATCTTACTTTACCAATGAAAGGCATTTTTCTTACTCATCCTGAGTCTATGATGGGTTTGTCCAGGAAGAAAAAATACTTCTGAGAACAAGACACATAGGCAATTTGAAATACTGGAGTTCATGTTGGAAATTAATAACTAATGACAAAGTAACAAGTCAAGTGATTTCTGTTTCTTCATTTTTTAAACACATTTAAAGGAGGATCTAATAAATTTCAGCTTTTGGCTTGCTAGAAATAGTTTGTTTAATTTTTATTAGCATATATTCATTGAACAGGCGCAATTTATTGTGCCAATTCCCAATAGCCTGGTTTCTACAAACCTGTTGCCTGGTCTTGATGCCAATTCACAATATACAAATAATGAAATTAGGGTTTTGAGGAAAAGGAAATAAGGCTTATTATTCATCAGATGAGGAGGATGTCAGGGAGAGTCAAGCTCTCTAAACACTGTCATCCCACTTCTGAGAGAAAACATCTACCTTTTAAAGGGGAGTTCAGGGCTCAGCTTGACTATGTGACCAGATGCATGTTTACCACCACCACTGGTCTTGATTCTGTAAGTGTCCAGTGCCACTTCTCTGAAGCTCTATGTCTTGGCTGGCAGGTTTACTGCTCTGGTGTTCAGAGAGAGATAAGGGGTAGAGAGCTACTCGGCCTAATTGAAGAGCAAAGGAAGTCGATTTCCATTACTGGATTCTCCAGCAATTAGACGAAGAGGGAAAGAAAGTTAGTTTAATCAACAAACAGTAAACTAGCCAGCAGGCAAGCTGGCTGTGCAAAAAGTTTTTTTCCTTTTGTGGACCCTGTTACAGCTGTACATGGTATATTGGTTATATGGCACCCACCATCTCTCCCCTGCAACCCCCACCCTGCCCCACTTAAAGCAATTATAAGAGATTTTGTTATTTTATTTCGTATATGTATGAAACTCATCAACCATATTCCCTCACCTTCATCTCCTTCATTTATCCTCCCCCTCCCACAAATACCTCCCTGTTAGAAATAATTTTATATGATAGATTACATTGTGAGTCCTAGCATGTAACTCGAAAGTTTAAAGAATTGAGTCACATTGCTAAAACAAAATTCCTTTCCACTCTATCTCTTTATGTAAACAATGTGTTCCAGAGCTTAAGCCATAAAAACAAGTAAGTAGATAGAGTTGATAGTTGTTCTTGTATCATTCTGCCAATATGTAATATTTATCCAGTGAGACATCTTCAAATCCTCTAAGAAAACCTACAAAGTGAGACCCCGTGGGGCCCCCACAATACTAGTAATTGTCTGAAAATATTAAGTGGAAAATTCCAGAAATAAACAATTTAAAAGATTTAAATTGTGTACCTTTGCAAGTAAGGTGATGAAATGTCTCCCTGTCCTGCCCAAGGCATCAATTACCTCTTTTTCTAGTGTATCCACAGTGTTTGCAGTATGCTTCTGCTAGCTGCTTCATGGCTGGCTAGGATATCAGACTGTTGTGAAAGAAAAAAAAAAAAAGGACTGTTGTGATGTTCCAGTGCTTGTATATGGTATATATTGTATTCAGTACTTTTAGAGTTTCAAACATCCATTGGATATCTTGGAATGTTCCCCACCCCAGAGGTTAAAGGGGGACTACTACAGTACTAGTATTCTCACAGACTTATTAATACTAGCCTGTTAGGGATTTAAAGTAGATTGGAAAAACATAAGATGATTTTTCAGTTGGAATCAGCTTATTTTAACAATTCAAAAATTTTGCTTAAAAGTCCCTAGAATTTAAAGTTTCATGGCAATAATGGCAGTTTCTTCTTCCTTCCCCTTCCTCCCCACCTTCAGTAGTGGGGTTTGAACTCAGGGCATTATATTTGCTAGGCAGCCACTCTACCTCTTGAGCCATACACCCCAACCCTCATTTTTCCACTTCTTTAATTACCAGCCATTTTAATTGAGTCTCAATTAAATCTACTTTGCAATACCTTTATAGTATTGTCATAGTTCTCAAAAGCTATAATATGTACAAAAATATATGTACAAAATATATATACTTTGATTTTCCATAAATATATTTTATTAATTGTTCTAAATTTGAGAGTTAGTTTTTCAAATGGAAAATTTGGTCTTCATTTTTGATAATTATTATCAAAATTTCATGTACAGTTCTGTGGCTTATGTGTCAGATTATTTCACAGTATACTTACAGACATCATCTCATAGTATATCTTACGTATATGTCATCTATAGTCATTTTAGGTTATTAGAGGTTCATATATGTCTTTACTTTTTAACAGTATTCCGTGCCTTTTTTCTTTAGGAAGAAAACTATTTGAACTTAAAATCTAATTATCTCTTCTACTTTCTGGTTTCTTCAGCTTTCCAAGTTCAAAGGACATACTCAGATCTCTTGAGAGGTATCAGAGTACTGAGAGTACTAAATAAAATCCCAAAGCCTTCTACAAAGATGTGATTTTTTTTTTTTTCCTGCCAGATATGTAGTAGTTGTATTCAGGGCTTACTTTCTTCTTAATATTTAGAGCTAACATTCAGCTGAGTTGCTCTTAGTAGTTAATAACTGTGTTTTTTATGGAGCTATAAATATGTGAACATAGCTATTATATTGCAGTATTCTATTCATATATTCAGATTACATAGTTTTAAAGTTTTAGTTCATATTCAAATTATATAGTTTTAAAGTTTTAGTTTATTCTTATATAATTTAGAAACTATTTTAGGGGAACTGAGCTATTGATAGAAAAGAAAATATACTGTATGTATTCTTCATGACTTTATGACTGAAAATATTTAGGCTCGTTTGTGACATTTCCACAATATAACTTGGCAGTGATAATGCAGTTTTGAATCTTTCTAGAGCTCTACAGTGACCCCATCGGCCCAGCAAGTGAAGACACCCCAAGCATCAAATGCTCCTGATCTGAACGATGCCATTGTGAAACTCTTCAGTGACTTTGATGTGAAAGAAACCTCCCATCACTTAGTGATTTCCCATTTAGATTTACACATATGTGATGATATTCATGCGAAAGAAAAAGGTACTGAAATCTGCTTATTTCAAACTACTTTGGCCTTTCTAGGATTGACTATAAAACTGGATTATTTGTTATATATGTTATGTAGTTTGTACCTGAGATAATTTTTCATAATTTTATCATTCATATGGATACATAAATGAAAGGTATAATTTGAAGAATTATATTGATATAAAATTTAATTTGACTTTAGTAGTTAGTACTTAAGCTTAATAAATTGTTAGTTACTAATGCTAAGGGTAAAATTAGGTTTTAAAAATCAAAGATTGAATAGATGACTACTGAATAAAATATCTTGGATTCCTGACTTTGAATAAACTTCTTCATAATTTTGAAATTGCTCATAAATTAAATTTTAGCTCATACTCCCTAATTATTTATACTTGGGTTTTCTGCATTGTGACTGATCTGCCTGTTTCTGGACCGGTGTGCATGCAAATACACCTGCAATGGCTCTTTAACATTTTGTACCCCCTTGCCCCTTTCCTCCCAAAATTTGAGTAGGAAGCTAAATTTTAGTTTGAAACATTTTTCTTTTGGCTATTGTTCCTCTTATTCATCCTTATTTAAAAGGCTGAGCTAACAGGGTAAACAGGAAGCTGTACTTGGTCACTTTGAAAATCTGTGGTTCTCTAACCTAGATGCTGGGCATTTCTATTTCTTTGTCATACAGTGTCCCTGGCCCCGTAGTGCTGGGGAAGTTCAGCAGGTAGGCTCATCTCAAAGACAGTGTTTCTCAAACTTGGTGAACATTAGACTTAAGCTGAAGATCTTGTGAAAATAGAGATATTTGACCTGTGTACCTCAGACTTGAATCAGAATCTGTATCCATGAAAACTGTTGTTTGAACTTGTTAAAGCTGAGAAACTGAATATCAAGTCCTGGCTGTTTCGTAGAGACATTTGTTGTCATTTCCTTTGCCAACCTTTGTGTCATTTGGCTTATAGTTATCATCTTCTGATTTAGTGATTTAGAAGGAAAAGCCAAAAAAGTTGAAACAACCCAAAGTAACAAAATGAGGTGTTAAAGTTAAGTTCTAAGCAAAGCTCTTTTGCATTCCTTAGACTTTGTCATTCCCTCATAGGATAAGCTGAATGATTTTAAGGGTCCATGCCACCAAAATATCGCCTCATTTTACAGGTCTGTAGTCACTTCTGCTATTCTGCAATCCAGAAGGCTCTAAAATGTGTTTTCGTCAGTTTGCAAAAGGTCATTTGGTGGCAAAATCTGACCTGACCAAGACATTGTTATTTATTATCTTCATTTAATCTACTTATTGTAAATATTGTAAGCTTTGCTGCAGAATTAGTTTTTTTTAATATTATTAAGTGATCAGAGTGTTACATAATATACAGTGTACACCCCACATTAATTTCATAAAATCTAAAAACTCTGAATTTCAAAACATTTAGCTCCAGTGGATTATGGATCTATACTGAAAATTCTAATTGAGACAAGTTAAGAGTTAACAGATTAATACAGGCAGTTGAATTGCTCATGGTGTTTTAAAATTTGATTTTTATGTTGGAGTTATACCAACTTACCTACTTTTTCTTTTCACTTGGTGTTATTTATTTTAATGGAGCTGGTATTTGAACTCAGGGACTCACACTTGATAGGTTGGCACTCTACCACTTCACCAGCCCTGTTTTGTGCTGGGTATTTTTGAGATAGGATCTTATGAACTATTTGCCCGGGTTGGCTTGGAACCACGATACTCCTGATGTTTGCCTTCCGAGGAGTTAGGATGATTATAAGCATGAGCCAACAGCACCCAATTGTGATCTACTTTTGGTCATACTATTCCCGTGTGAATTTAGACAACATACCTGATCTGATTTACACTCAATTTCCGCTTTAGTGAGAGGCAGGATGATATTTATAGTGAAGAGGTTTAAGATTTTCTAGGTTCAAATCCCACTTCTGAACTTCACTAGTTTTCCAATGTTGCTCTTTGAACCTCAATTTCTTATCTAGAAAATGAATGTAATAAAAACACTTATCTTATGAGTTGTTGCAAAAATGAAATGAAAAACAATATGGTTAGGGCTTACAAGTACAAAAGTTCTGGTACTGTCATCTATAAATTCTTAAAAGGCTTAGATACTGTTCTTGAATCATCTTTTAGTCCAGTACCTACCAAATGATAGAGACTCAGTGAATACTTAATAGATTGAACTGCATTTCCTAAATTCCTTAATATATTATCCAGTACAAAAGAGAGGCAGATTACTACTACTTGTACTCCTGATTATGCTAAATATATTTTATGGCAAACTGTTTTTGATACTTGCTTAATATTTCTTTCTCTTTTTTTTTTTCTCAATTCCATCTTTTTCTTTTTCCAGAATCAAACAGACGTATTACTGGAGGTGCTATGCAACTGTCTTTTACACAGCTGACCATAGATTATTATCCTTATCATAAAGCAGGTATGTAAAATATGTAAATATGTAAATCTTGCCTTAAAATTACATTTTTATTTTTACAATTTATCATTTACATTTTTTTAAAAAAATCTTTTTGTTTTAATCTAATTTACTAAGAGAAAAGACATCAAGATATCTTCACTATTTTTCTCTTGGTAGTATTTTACCGAGAAAATAGGATTGCCTTAGAAAATACTCATACATTTTATATTGAGATTCACGTGGATTGTTAGAAACTAGAATTGTTAGAAATTGACAATTCTTGGCTTGGAATAGAATGGTAGAATACTTGCCTAGCATGTTTTAGACACATGGGTTCCATTCCCATCATCACACACACACACACACACACACACACACACACACACACACACAAGAAAACCCTGAAATCACCAATTTTCTAAATAATGGATTTAAAACATCTAAAAAGCTGACATATATTTGTGCTGTTTTGTTGGTTGTGACAAAGCAGTCAGTGTTTTATTAATTTAATAATCAATGTTTTGAATTTTACATTTTCAGTTTCATATTTTCTAAATTTCATCCAAGTTACATTTAATAGTTACTTTAATCTTGAAGTATTGATAGGTTCTTTTTTCTCAAATAATAAAAACAAAAAATATTATTTATACCCAAATTAAGCAATTTAGCTTTAGAACATAGCTATGCTACATTGTTTTCTTATTTACAAAAACATAAAACAACCAAAAAAATTATAATGCATTTTCCAAGACTTTCAGAAACCAATGAAATTTTTATATTCATGTTTCTGCCTACCAATGATTATCATTTCTATGTTAGTACCTGACAGAATTTAAAAGTTGTACTATTTGTTTTGCTTTTCTTTTGAAGGGCTTTGTAAGAAAGTAATTATATAAATTATTCATATTTTGGAAGATAAGACTTTCAACCACAATATAGACTTTATTTTTAAAAATCTTTTAATGTACATATTACTTTCCTTAATTGCTACATATTTTATATTTTCTTTTCCCAAACATGCATATATCTCTCTATGACTAATGTCCATTTTGAGAAATTCTGTTTTTTTTATTTTTTATTTATTTTTTATTGTTTTATTATTCATATGTGCATACAAAGCTTGGGTCATTTCTCCCCCCTGCCCCCACCCCCTGTTGTTTTCTTAAATGTTTTAATGATCATACTTTTATCAGTTTTATGGATTAGATTATCATTACTTTACAACAAATCTTTGATGGTATTTTCTGAGATTTTGTCCAGTGGAAGCTTGCTACATGATTGAGCATCCAGTGAAGATGGACCAATCCTTTGGCTTTGAATTGAAACTTTGAGTGCTAGTCTACCAAGGGCTGTAGATGGAAAATCTTCCAGGTTATTTGCTTTTAACACTGTTGTCCTCTGTTCCTTGTCATGCTCTTGTTTTAGAGAAGTAGTAAGTGAAGTATCCACATATTTTGGAAGATTAAAAGACATCCTTGAGCAAAATAAGTAAATTTCATTGAAAGCACTGCTGTAACAGACTAAATGGAAATTGTGCATTTTCTGTGAAATAATCTGTTATTCCTTTTACAGGAGATAGTTGTAATCATTGGATGTATTTTAGTGATGCAACCAAAACAAAAAATGGATGGGCCAATGAATTGTTACATGAATTTGAGTGCAACGTTGAAATGCTTAAACAGGCTGTGAAGGATCATAATGTAGGTTCACCTCCTAAATCCCCAACACATGCCTCTCCCCAGCACACACAAACAGGTATTTTACCTAACAACATATGGCCTTCCCCCGATACTAAGTGTGTGCGTGTGTGTGTGCGTGTGCGTGCGTGTGTGTGGTCATAGTATATTTTTAGTAAATAAGTATTATTTTTAATTAATGTATAAAAATCTTGCACCCTTTACTCAGACCAACCTAAGCTTATAGATCAAAATGTTTTTAAGATTAATATAACCAATAAGAGCTAACACGCAGGTAGAATTTTGTTTTTGGTGGTACTGGGGATTGAACTCAGGGCCCTGTACTTGCTAGACAGGTGTTCTACCACTTGAGCTATACCTTACCCTCTTTTGCTTTAGGTATTTTTAAAATAGGGTCTTGTGTTTATGCCCAAGCAGGCCTGACTACAGTTCTCCTATTTATGCTTCCTGTGTAGCTGGGATGGCAGGTGCATGCCGCCATGCCTCAACTTTTAGTGGTTGAAATGGAATCTTGCAAACTTTTTGCCCAGGCTGGCCTGGAACTTAGATCCTCCTGATGTCCACCTCCCAAGTAGCTAGGATTATAGGTGTGAGCCAATGCACCTGGCTCAGACTCTTTTTTATATATATATAAATTTTTTATTAGGATATATTCATTATGTGGGGAGGGACTTGCAGTGACAATTCCAATTAGACTTATACTACATTAGTCACATTGCCCCCATCATCTCTCCCCCTCAGCTCCCTCCCCACCCTAATTAAAACAATTGCAAGAGGTTTCTTAGTTCTGTTTCATATAGGTATATGAAGTCCATCTACCATCACCTTAATCTCCTTCCTTCACCCTCCTCCCTCCCTCTGGTACCCCCCTGACACTACCTATTTTACAGTCCTCATTTTTGGTTTTTGGCTTAGACTCTTAAGCGACTGGTAGATCTCACTTTTAACATTGTAGGAGAGTGACTTAAATATAATAAAAATATGGTTCCTGCTTAAAAATAAATAATCACAAAACCTACATTTCTGTATCACTATAATTTATAAACTATTTCTACATGTATTATCTTGTTTGAGAAATTACTGTTCATCTATATTTCTGGTAGCTTTTTTAATAATAAAAGAGTGACTATTAAAAAGGAATTTTGTAAGCTGATGCTACTTGTCTGTCGTTCTGACTTATGAAGGAGGTTAGGATTAGGGCGATGGTGATTCTAGGCCAACCTGGGCAAAAAATGCTTGTGAGACCCCATCTCAATGGAAAAAAAGCTGGGTATGGTAGTACATGACTGTTATCCCAGTGATGGTAGGAAGCATAAAATAGGAGGTTGGTGGTCCAGGCTGGCCTAGGCAAGAAATGAGACCCTATCTCAAGTAAACAGCAAAAAGGGCTGGAGACATGGCAACAGTGGTAGTGCCTGCCTAGCAAATGCAAAGCCCTGAGTTCAAACCTCAGTTCTGCCAAAAAAAAAAAGTAATAATTTTGTAATAAAAGGAGTTTTTGCTTTCTACAGAGAAGGACTCCACTCTGAAAGGCGCTTCTAGAACACCTTCAGTATTATCTCAACAATCAAAAGCTAAGCTAATGTCTAGTTCTGTTGTGATTAGACTTGCAGATTTCAATATATACCAGGTATGTTTTATTTTTTTTAATTAAGTTTTTTCAAGAATACTTTTAGTATCTGATATGAGTGACTCTAATAATGAATTCTGCAATTTTACTTGAAAACATCTTGACCAGTTTGTGAAATGACTTAATTTGGCCATCTAATGTGATGGAATAGAAAATATATGCTCATTAATGTTTATTTATATGGTTACCCAGAATTAGCTAAACTATGAAGACAAGGGCACATTATTTCAGGCTGCTAGCACTGTCTAAGACTTCTGACACCAAACTGCAAGTTTTGGGGGGTTTGCTAAAACTACCCTCAGGTTCAACAGTTCATTTGAAAGACTCACAGAGTTCAGTGAAATCTGTTATGCTCATAATTGCTTTTGTTATAAGGAAAGAATACAAATAAGAACCAGCTATAGGAAACAGTGCATAGGGCAGAGTCTGGAAGGGTTCCAAATGTGAATCTTAGGCCTGGGGATATAGCTCAGTGATAGACAGCTTGCATACCATGCATGAAGCCCTGGGTTCAGTCTCCAGCCCCCCAGGGCAGACGTGTAGTAATATGCGTAAAGTATTATCTATGTAATTGAACTCAATCTTATTGTGGATTGATAGCAGATGACCCAAGGCCTTCACCCCTCTCTAAACAAATAAGAATATCAAGTGTGACCAGCCCCACCAGAGTCATCTTATTAGTTTAAACTATCAATTGTCTACCATAAATAGGCAATTATAGTTTCTAGTTATCTTGCAGGAGCAAAGACTAGAACTCTTGGAAGACCAGATTTCTTACTACACAATAGTCTGTGTGGAAGAAACACTTTTAGTGGACCTATTGAGTATTGGCCAGACTATGAACCTGATTTTATGGATAAGAACTCTCCCATTTCAACTACCTAGTTTATGCGGGCAAACTATAATCACACAACATGGTCTAATGTCAGTTCTTGGGACCAAGAAAATAGAATATATGACTTTTTTTTTTTTGAGACAGGATTTTATTATACATATAGTCTAGGCTGGCTTTGAAGTTGTGATCTTCCTGCCTTAGCCTTCTGAGTACTGGTATTACAAGTACCAGTACCATACCTGACTGTGATCTGTTTTTAAAAAGAAGATTGCAAATTTCGGGTTCATATCATCATTTATAAGTTGTCCTGGTTTATTTTGATAAGCCTGTAGCTTTACCTGAAAAGTTTTCATTTAATTCAGTGGTTCTCAACTGGGACACATTTTGGTTCTCACCCTTGAAAGTGGTGCTGCTGATATCTGGGGTGAAGTCCCGCGATGCTGTTGTACGTTCTGCAATGCACAGGACACTCTCTTCATAAAGAACTGTCTGGCCCAAAACGTCAGTACTGCCAGTTTTGAGAAACCCTTATTATTTTCTCACTGCGCCATTGCTTCTTCCTTTACATTCTCTTTATATAAAGCAGCTTATTTAAAGTGGACTTTAAATTTTTAGATTTAAGTAAAGTCATCAATTAATGAAGGAAGGGAATCACCCATTATCTCAAATGGCTGAGATAATACAATAAAGAAACATACACAAATAGTCTAAAACAGAACAATCAAAAGTAAGTAGTAGAAAATAAAATAATGTGTTCAGCTGAGTATGGTGGTACTTGCTGGTAATCCTAGCACTCAGGAAGCAGAGGTAGGAGGAATGTGAGTTCCAGGCCAACCTGGGCTATATAACTGTCTCAAACAAACAAACAAAAAAAACAGAATAACATGTTTATTACAATTCCAATCTGCATTCTGTATCTACCATTTACTATACTATATCATTATTCTTATTTTCCTGTTATTTTAAGACTCAGGTTTGCAAGGAATAATGTATAAAGTTGATTTTATAATCCAAAATGGTTATAGAGTTTTCCGAATAGTTGGTGGGTATTTTTTTTTATGGTAATTTAATGTGAAGCTAAATATATAATAAAATTTTCATTGTCAATTACTATTGACAAATTATTGGAATTAATTTTAGAAGATTTTGAAAGTGATATCCAAGTCACATAAATTCTTTTGAAAGAGCTTTAGATTCAGTATAACTTCTGCAAACTTAATTATTTCTTCAGGTCTCCACAGCAGAACAATGTCGTTCTTCCCCCAAAAGTATGATTTCCTGCAATAAAAAATCCCTGTATCTTCCACAAGAAATGTCAGCTGTCTATATAGAATTCACAGAATATTACTATCCAGATGGAAAGGATTTTCCAAGTAAGACAGTTTACTGCTTTGGTATTAATTTGTCCATTATTTGAATATTTTTTTGTTAAGATTTTGGATTTTATAAGTATGGAAAAAGAAGTAAAAGCCCATTATTCTTTATTCTTGTTATCGTTGTATATAGTACATAACTTTAATATAATATTGGTGCATATTATTTGTTTATATGCCCTTTTCCCTAACTGCTGTGGCGCCCTTGTTGGCAGGATTACATGGTATTTATTCCCTGAGGTCTGACTCATTTTTGTGCTTAGTAGCTCCTTATTGAATTACAGAATGAAGAAATAACTAGGTTATTTGTAGAATATGGTCCTTTTTAAAAAATTTTTTTTACCTTTTTTAAAACTCCATTCTATGTCAGCAATATGAAATTCTATTTTGTTGAAAAGTGAATAATTGAAATTGTCTTTTTAACTTTTGAGAAATTTTTGGGCTGTTTTTAAATCCCCAGGAGGATATTTTGGGTAACTTTTGGCACTTATCTTTTTAAATAAACATCAAATTAATGAATTTTTATTTGTAAGCTGGTGCCTCATTTTAACTGAGTTCTTCAGGCTAAAAATTTGCCTTTGTGTGGTTCTTTTTCTGTTTTCAACTAAGAGAATCATAGTTGAGAGAAGGTGTTCAGATGAAATAGCTTATATTGTTAGAGGAAAAACAACTTATGACTTCTCTTTAAAAGTGAAATCCCCAAATATTTAGATGTTTGTTTGTTTAATATTGATTTATTGATATAGGAATTTATGATGCTTATGCAATATTTTTAGCTTTAGTGAGTAAGGCATTCTGAAAATTACTTTCTAGAAATGGACATCTATTTTTTTCACTTTATTTCTAGTTTATGCCAGACTTTTGGCATGTAATCCTCAGTCTTTCTACTTTTCAACATTTTTTGTATATTTCTCATTTGTTTCACTCAGCCACCTTTCTGGCTAAAAAGATGAGAGCACTAAGATATGTTGGGACATTTTCTCTGCATCTTACAGGTAGTGAAGTGGCACAAATCGAACTCAAGCATAGTCTTCTATTCATTGTTTCTTTCCGTTTGTTTTACAGTGTCTCCCCAATAGCCATTTGTCTGCAACTGCATAATCTTATCATTGCACTCTAACCAATAATTATTGTCCTTAAATAAAATACATCATTGACTAATTTTTCTTCAAAGTTAAGACCAGTTTCCCGCCAGGTGCTGGTGGCTCACACCAGCTAGTAATCCTAGCTACTTGGGAGGCTGAGATCAGGAGAATCGCAGTTTGAGGCCAGCCTGGCAAATAGTTTATGAGATCCCCATCTCTAAAATAACTGGAGAAAATGGACTGAAGGTGTGGCTTAAGCGGTAGAGTGCCTATTTTGCAAGCATAAAGTCCTCAGTTCAAACCCCAGTCCCACCAAAAACAAGCAAAAAAGTCTAGTTTCCAGGATTAGAAGTCATAACTTCAAATCTAGCAGTTTTAACATGATAATTCCCATTCTCTATTCTGTATGTTTTTTCTGCAAAAATTACCAAACTATATTTTACCCTTTTAAACCCTACCCACTCATGCCTCTCTCACCCCCAAGATACACAGTAGTGGAATTTCTGAGTTACATTTAGCTATTTTGAATTTAACATTTTACTATAGAAAATTTCAGACATAAGCAAAAATAGAGAAGATAGTAATAGTGAATCCCCAGTGTAAAAGAGTACATTTTCAATCCTCATATTACTTGATCTCTGTTTTAAACAATTTTAACCAGTCTAACTTTTAAAGTATGTTAACTTTTTTTGTTTACTATTGTGAAAATAATGTATGTATTTTATATTTTTAAAAGAGGAAAATGCCAAGAAATAAAAATTGTCCCTAAGTCTGCAACCTAGAGACTTCTGTTATAACATAAATGTATTTGTTTTTTATGACTGCTATATCAAATGTCACAGATCATGTGGCTTAAATAACAGAAATTTATTTTCTTATACTTCAGGATGCTTGAAGTCATAAATCAAAAGCCGTTTCTTTTGAGACCTCTCTCTTTGGCTTGTTGTTTTGGTCTTCTCCCTATGTCTTCACATGGTCTTGGCTCTATGTGGGTCTACTTTAATCTCTTCTTACAAAGACTCTAGTCATGTTGGTCTAGGGCCTGTATGAACTTACTTTCCTTAATTTCTTCTTCAAAGGCTTTGTCTCCAAATACAGTCCCATTCAGAGGTACTCAGCATTAGGGCTTCAACATAGGGATTTGGGAGGAGAGACACAATCTACCCATAACAATAAGTGTAGTGTTATTAGTCCTGTTTTTAATGCATGTATTTCTTTTACAGTTTGATCTTGCATCCTGCTCCTTTCCTCTAATGATATGGGCATATTATAAATGGTTTCTGTAAGCTCATTTTAAGTATCTTTGGGGCTGAGAGTGCAACTCAGTGATAGAGTACTTCTTGCTTAGCATGCTTGAGGCCCTGTGTTCAATCCCAGCATTCAGAAAAAAACCAAAACAAATATTCTTAGTAGCTACACAATCTATTTCATAAATAGACCCTTATTGGAAATTTTGTGCTAAGCATACTGGTTTCCTTTCTTAATCCCCAATCTACTCTCAGTTCTTTCTCTCTACTCTATCCTTGAGTGTTTCATTTGCTTTCTAGGCTTCTCTGTGGCTGTTATCTTTACTTGGTGTATATATTGAAATTCCCTATCCTTTCTTTTCTTCTAGAGAGTGATGCAATTTCCTTAGCATCCTATTTCATTTCTGTTACAAAGACAAGCATCTCAACATCACTGTTGCACATCTCTGATAGGATTGAGTTACAACTTTTTTGGTCTTATATCTTTCTCATGTAATAAACCGAATCTTTTTTTAAGAAAAGGGATCATGCTTTCTTTTTTATATTCTTTATCCTTACCACAATGCACAGAATATAATTGACTTTCATGATTCTTTGCTAAAGGAATGAGTAAATGAAAAATAAGCAAAAGAAAATATATGCAGGACATTAATACAATATTCTTGCTCTGTTGGTTTCCTGCTTGTATTTATTTTCCTTACATTAATTCAATCTAAAAGTTCTAGATATGCATTATTTTTAGCTTTGGTAAAAGTAAGCATGCCTGAGTTTTTAGAATAAAAATCTTTTGAACTGTTCTGAAACTAACATGGCTTTTATGATAGAAGTACTTGTGAGTTTCAGAAGTGATGTATAATAATTATAAATATTAATTTACTTTGGGAGAGCTACGAAAATGAGTATTTGTTTGAGTATTCAAGATATACTTAAGGCACTGTTCTTTTTTTGGTAGAAATGGGGTTTGAACTCAGGGCCTCATGCTTGCTAGGCAGGTGCTTTATCACTTTAGCCAGTCCATCAGCCCTAAAGCAGTATTCTAAACCTTGATTAAAGTGTGGAATAAAACTATTCATGTGCCCTCTCTCAAGGAGTTCTGCCTAGCATGCCAGTTTCATGGGATGCAATTCAGGTGCAGATAGTAAAATCCATACAGAAATAGGTAATCAAGGACCACAAATTTGAAGTCATGTTCCCCTAAGAAGGTATTGTGTTTAGAGGTTTGCTTTTTTAAATATAATCTTAGAAAAAGGTAGAAATAGTATTTCCTATTTATATGTGTAATTTTAGATTGAGTGTATTTTTTAGCTAATGAAGCATAGAAAAATGTTTTATGTCTTTATCACTTTAAATATAACATCTCAAAAGTTTTTAAGAAAGAATAAAACTTTCTCAAGTATCTTTTCTGTTCTCAGGGAACATTTAGAACTGTTTCTTTATTAACAGTTTTTAAAATTTTTTCTCTACAGTTCCATCTCCCAACCTCTATAGCCAGCTGAATGCACTACAGTTTACTGTGGATGAAAGAAGCATTCTGTGGTTAAATCAATTTCTATTGGATTTAAAACAGAGTCTTAACCAATTCATGGCTGTGTACAAGTTGAATGACAATTCAAAATCTGATGAGCATGTTGATATTCGAGTTGATGGCTTAATGCTAAAGGTATTATATAAATCAGTGGCTGTGAGAACAAAACCGTTTTTTTAAGGAAGAAAAGTTGATTGCAGTATAACTTCCAGGATATGAGAGGGATGTTCAGATATAAATCATCTTCATGATTTTAAAATTTCAGATTCAATTTTTATCCTCAATTATAGACGCTTTAAGAGACTGCTTTTCTCCCCAGTTTGTACATTTCTTATGATTATTCTTTTTCCATCCATTTGGAGGAAAGCTACAGCAGTAAAATTTAAATCTTTAGTGATTTTGCTTCTATTTCAGAACTAATAAATTTTCTTCTAAGAAAAGTAAGTTATATAACAAAACTTTTAAGTTATATGAGTTGTATTTGTTTACATTCATTCCACTATTAGTATCCAAGGTAATGGGAAGTTGCTTTTTATTATAGCTAAGTAGTAGGTAATCTGAATTCCATCTCTATTTAAGTTTTAAAGGGAAGATGTTAAAGAACAAACAGGTAGTATTGTTCAGTAAAAAGATAGTATCATTTAGTAAATAAAATAAAGACTTGGAGATGGATGAAAATTCGAGTTCCTAGGTCTGTTGCTGGCAGACTGTGTGCCTTTAATCTCTGTGAAATGATGCAAATAATATTCAACAGTTGCATGGAAGAAATATTTTAAAGATCCTCTCAAAGATCTAAAGTTCAAAATAAAAGGGCATGTTTTATGACATTTATAATTGTTTAAGACTGAATGAGCATAAGCAGTATTAAAACTAGTCACTTTGAGCTCTTTGTTAGGAACATTTTGAAGACTAGATTTAATTATCCCTTGAAAATTATTTCACTAGTTTGACTTAAATAAACTTAAGTTTATTTTTTTTAATAGTTTTCTCCCAGAAAACTGTTTCTAATGACATCTATTCATTTATCCAGTCATCTCTCAAAACATTTGGATTTAAAATATTCTAACAAAAAATTGTCTTTCCAGACTTGGCATTTTTTTCTGTGTACTCAGGGAACATTTTAATAAAAATATTTTAGCTCAAATATATTTTTTTATTTTATAATTTATTGTGTATAAAATATATGCTGTATACATTATTAATTCATATTTTGTTTTTTGCTGGTATTGGGGTTTGAACTCAGAACTTTATGCTTGCTAGGCAAGTAGTCTACCACTTGAGCCATGCACCCAGCCCCTTTTGCTTTGGTGGCACAAGACTGTAATTCTACCTATTTGGGAGGCAAAGTTCCAGGGAATTGCAGTTCAAGGACAGCCCTGCAAAATGTCCATGAGACTTCCATCTCAACTAATACAAAGCTGAGTGCTGTGTGCACACCTGTCATCCCAGCTATGCAGGAAACATAAATAAAAGGATCATCAAGCCTGGCTAGGCTTCTACTGGGCATCAATCATCCTAGCTTCTTGGGAGGCAGAAAATCAGGAAGATGGTAGTTCAAGGTCAGCATGGGCAACAAAAGAAAATCCTTATCAAGCATACTTAACACAAAAAGGACTGTCAGATGGTTCAAGAGGTAGAGCACCTGCCTGGCAAGCCCACTCCCTTAGGTTCAAACCCCAGTTCTGCAAAAAAAAAAAAAAAAAAATGTTCTCTTCTTTAGTGATAATCATTTAAGTCCTTTTTACTCAATTTATAAAAGAATTTGAAAGGGAGAGAGTTAGTACTTTACATCTGGAAAGGAAAGAATTATTTTTAGAGAAAATGTCAAGAAAAAGAATTTCTAAGTTAATTCATATTCTTATTTTATCTTCAAGATACATGAATTTGTAAGTTGGACCAAGATTCATTTTTTTCCGTTCTAGTTTGTCATTCCCTCTGAGATGAAATCTGAATGTCATCAAGATCAGCCACACGCCATTTCTATTCAGAGCTCTGAGATGATTGCCACAAATACAAGGCACTGTCCAAACTGTCGACATTCTGATCTGGAAGCTTCGTTTCAAGACTTCAAGGATTGTGATTTTTTTAGTAAAACATACACTAGCTTCCCTAAATCTTGTGGCAGTTTTAATCTTCTACATCCAATCTTCCAGAGACATGCTCACGAACAAGATACCAAAATGCATGAAGTTTATAAAGGGAATATAACTCCCAAACTGAATAAACACACACTTAAAACTTCAGCAGCCACAGATGTTTGGGCTGTGCACTTCTCTCAATTTTGGATAGATTATGAAGGGATGAAAAGTGGAAAGGGACGACCAATAAGTTTTGTAGATTCTTTTCCCCTATCTGTGTGGATCTGTCAACCAACAAGATATGCAGAGTCACAGAAAGAGCTCCACACTTGTAATCAGGTGTCTCTAAATACATCCCAAAGTGAATCTAGTGATCTGGCTGGCCGACTGAAGCGGAAAAAGCTTTTGAAGGAGTACTATAGTACAGAGTCTGAGCCCTTGACAAATGGTGGTCAAAAACCTTCTTCATCAGATACATCTGTAAGATTTTCCTCTTCATCAGATGCAGATATTCATGTCCTGGTTCATGTTCATAAGCATGTCAGTATGCAGATTAATCACTACCAGTATCTGTTCCTGCTTTTCCTGCATGAGTCTCTCATTCTGCTTTCAGATAACTTAAGGAAAGATGTGGAAGCTGTGACTGGAAGTCCTGCTAGTCAGACATCCATTTGCATTGGAATTTTACTTAGAAGTGCAGAACTGGCTCTTTTGCTACATCCAGTGGATCACACAAATACTCTTAAATCTCCTGTTTCTGAAAGCATGAGCCCAGTGGTTTCTGATTATTTGCCTACAGAAAATGGAGAACTTTTGTCTTCAAAAAGAAAACAGTTTGGTGGTATAAATCCAATGAGACGTGTAACTATAAATCATATGTCAGACAACAGATCTATGAGTGTTGACCTTAGCCACATCCCTTTAAAGGATCCTTTGCTTTTTAAATCAGCTAGTGATACAAATCTGCAAAAAGGTACTTCTTTTATGGACTATTTATCAGATAAACATTTAGGGAAAATAAGTGAAGATGAAAGCAGTGGACTTGTTTATAAGAGTGGCTCAGGAGAAAATGGATTAGAAGTAAGTGACAAAAAGGACTTACCTTACACAGATTCAAACAGTGTTTTGAACTACAGAGAAGACTCAAATATGCCATCATTTGGTAATGATGGTAATCAAAGCATACTTTCCAATAGTTTAACTAATAAAGGCAGTGAAACTATAGAGTCAATCTTCAAAGCTGAAGATTTGCTTCCAGAAGCAGCTTCACTCTCTGAGAACCTGGGAATTAGTAAAGAAGAGGCACCCACAATTAGAACACTTAAATCTCAGTCATCTTTAAGGTAACAGTGTATTGGAAGTTGGGGTTTCTTTGTTTTTCTGGGTGTGTGTGCACATGAGTGTATTTCGTTTGGGGGCAGAAAACCTCATGGCAAAATGTGGCATTATTAATAGAGTAGATTTTTCAAATTTGAGAAGCCTTTGAGTTTATTAATTGAAATTAATTTAAAAACTTGTGGATGTTACGTATATATTTTAACTTTGTCACAAGTGTTTTTAAGATAAAGTTCTTTATGTGTAGTAATTTTCCATTTTGTTTGTTAACAGTGGAAAGCCTAAGGAACACTGTCCACCCAACATGGCTCCACTTTGTGTTTCTTATAAGACCATGAAAAGAAGTTCCTCACAAATCTCGTTGGACACCATATCACTTGACAGCATGATATTGGAAGAGCAGTTGTTAGAAAGTGATGGAAGTGATAGTCATATATTTTTGGAAAAAGGTAAAGCAATACAGTTTAGGAATTCTTATTATATATAAACAAATCTCACAAGAAATGTGATATTTAAACATTTTTAGTTATATTCAATAATTGTTAGTTACATCCAAAAAGGAGACTTACTGTATTTATACATACACATACTCCTAGAGTACCTAACTTCATAATGGTTGTTCTATTGCTTCTTTTATCCAGATACTTCTGTCTCTTTATAACTGACATCCAGCAATTATTTGTATGCAGTCATTTGAGTCATAAAGCAGCAGACATTTTTTTATTGTTTTTTTTTTTTTATTCATATGTGTATACAATGTTTGGGTCATTTCTCCCCCCTCCCCCCTCCCCCTCACTACCTGGCAGAAACTATTTTGCCCTTATCTCTAATTTTGTTGAAGAGAGAGTATAAGCAATAATAGGAAGGACCAAGGGTTTTTGCTAGTTGAGATAAGGATAGCTATACAGGGAGTTGACTCGCATTGATTTTCTGTGCATGTGTGTTACCTTCTAGGTTAATTCTTTTTGATCTAACCTTATCTCTAGTTCCTGGTCCCCTTCTCCTATTGGCCTCAGTTGCTTGAAAGTATCTGCATTAGTTTCTCTGCATTGAGGGCAACAAATGCTATCTAGTTTTTTAGGTATCTTACCTATCCCCATACCTCCCTTTTGTGCTCTCACTTTATCATGTGCTCAAAGTCTAATCCCTTTGTTGTGTTTGCCCTTGATCTAATGTCCACATATGAGGGAGAACATACAATTTTTGGTCTTTTGGGCCAGGCTAACCTCACTCAGAATGATGTTCTCCAGTTCCATCCATTTATCAGCGAATTATAACATTTCGTTCTTCATAGCTGCATAAAATTCCATTGTGTATAAATACCACATTTTCTTAATCCACTCGTCGGTGGTGGGGCATCTTGGCTGTTTCCATAACTTGGCTATTGTGAATAGTGCCGCAATAAACATGGGTGTGCAGGTGCTTCTGGAGTAACCTGTGTCACATTCTTTTGGGTATATCCTCAAGAGTGGGATTGCTGGATCAAATGATAGATCAATGTCTAGCTTTTTAAGTAGCCTCCAAATTTTTTTCCAGAGCAGTTGTACTAGTTTGCATTCCCACCAACAGTGTGTAAGAGGGTTCCTTTTTCCCCCGCATCCTCGCCAACACCTGTTGTTAGTGGTGTTGCTAATGATGGCTATTCTAACGGGGTGAGGTGGAATCTTAGTGTGGTTTTAATTTGCATTTCCTTTATTGCTAGAGATGGTGAGCATTTTTTCCTGTGTTTTTTGGCCATTTGAATTTCTTCTTTTGAGAAAGTTCTGTTTAGTTCACTTGCCCATTTCTTTATTTGTTCATTAATTTTGGGAGAATTTAGTTTTTTAAGTTCCCTGTATATTCTGGTTATCAGTCCTTTGTCTCATGTGTAGCTGGCAAATATTTTCTCCACTTATTATTCAGTTTTTTTTTCTTTTTTCCCTGGGTGGGGGTTGGTCTGGCCAGGGGGCTATGCTGATCTGGCCCACGGTTGTCTGTGGGAGTGCTGTGTACCGCTTAGTTCACCTTGTGGTCCACATCTTCCCAAGCCGTCTGGGTGCTGGCATCTGGCAGTGGCCTGGGGGCCCTCCTGGTTTCTCTGTTTAACATGAAGTGGAGATGCTATGTGCAGGCTGGAGGTGTGGAGGAGTCAAAGTTTTGCCTCTTCTCAGTGGTTTTTCCTGTAAGGTGTATCTCCAGCGTCTCTCCAATATTTTACTTTAGGAGGCATGCTTTCTGCTTCCTCCTTCTAGCCACCATCTTGGAATCTTCAAAGCAGCTGACATTAAGGCTATCAGCCTCTATTACAGAGTCTCCTATTTGGAAATTTGATTAGATGGTCCTAATTTGCATGTTGGATTGTCAACTGTATGATCCTGTGACTGGAATTTTTCCAGACTGGAGCTCTATATTTACAAAAGCAGAGTTCTTTCACATTCATGATGGTGTGTGAGGGAACTACATGATTACCCCATTTCATTCGGAGGCAACCAGTATCCCTCTAAAGGCCATTGTGAAAGATTTAGAAAGTATTAAATGTGTTCCCATTGGTAAGCCATTGGGGACTTTGTGAACGAGAATAAAATCATATACCATACTCAAAGAATAGTTCCACAGACAGAAACATGGGAGACTAGAGGCAAGCATGAATTTTTTTCTGTTTGAAGGGAATTAAGGCTATTGGTGCAATTGAAAACAGCTTAGGTGAGATAATAAATACTAATAAGAGCATACATATTTTTAATATTGGTACTGTAATAGCAATTAACATTTATTGTCAGATGCTATCTTAGTCCATTTTATGTTGTTAGCACAGAGTACCACAGATTGGGTAATTTTTAAGAATGGAAATTTATTTTTCACAGTTCTGGATGTGGGGAAGTCTGAGATCAAGACCCCAGCAGTTTAGCTGTCTGGTGCCTCCAGAGGAGAGGAATGCTGTGTCCTCACATGACAGATGGAGAAAGGGCAAGACACCTTAAGTGAAACTGCTTTTATGAGGTCCTTAATCCCATCTTGAGGGAGGGCCCTCAGTGCTTGAAGGCCTATCTTAATCCTGTCACATTGGCAACATGAATTTTGTAAAGGACACATTCAGACTTTAGCCAAATGCTTGAGTAGTTGACCTCATTTAATTTGAACCACAGCTCTATCATAATATATAGTTAACATTTATTTAACACATTTTTTGTGTCTTGGCACTGTTCTGTGTATGTGTTTGTGTGTATAAATGCATTTATCCCTCAGCAGTTTTGCCAGTAATATACTATTTATCTTCACAGAAATTAAGTATCTAACCCAAGGTAACACAGCTAGTAAGTTGTTTAAATGCCAGTATTCTGGTACGAGAGCCTACATGCCAAACTTCCTCAAATCATACCTATGAGGTACAAGTTTTATTTTTACCCTCATTTTACAGGTATGGAGACTGAGATTCCAAAGGTAATTTGCCTATAGTCACATTATTATAAAAGAGCTTGGATTATTATTTTTTGTTTGTTCTAAGCTAATACTTGGTAGTACTTACTGTACCAATTACTGTCTAAAAGCATTATGTGTTTTATTTAATCTTTACATAAATTTGAGTTAGGGCTATTATTACATGCATTTTAAAGGTGAGGAAAACAAAGCCTAAAGAGGTTGAGCAGCTTGCCCAAGCTCACACAAGCGAGTAGTGGAATTAGCATTTGAACAGGTAGTCTGAATATGACTGTTCTTTCTGGCCCGAGGAAGTATTCGTAACCAAATTTATACTTCACATAAAAGACAGAAGAAAAATCCTAGATCCCTATGTAATGTACTCTGATTTGGTGGGAGATACCTCACATGGTAGATGATATTCAGTAACAATTGCAAACATTGATTAAATACTGTAGTCACTGCTGAAAGTTTTACAATATGTTGTTTTATTTAATTATCAAACTAGTCATGGTAGTATTAATCCCTTTTTTATAGATTCAGAAATAGAAGCTTAGAGAAATCAGTTACCTTGTTCCGAGTTATGTAGCCAGGAAGTAGAAGCAGATTTGTCTGCTAGCCTGACTCAAGCCAAGCTTTTAACCTATAATGCTATACTGTCTCTTCAGACTTGGGAAAAGATTATTATCATATATAAACAAAAAATCCTTAATCTAACCCTAAATCATAGCCGTGCCCTTTCTAACATACCAGTTAAATGTGAAGAGGTACTGATAGGGTCATCAAAAATTATTCTCCAGCTGAGCACTGGTAGCTCACACCATAATTTTAACTACTCAGGAAGGCAGAGGTAGAGCATGTGCCTAGCAAGTGTGAGGACTTGAGTTCAACTCCAGTACTGCCAAAAAACAACAAAGAAAGAAAAATATTCTACATTTATAGATAACTCTAGTTGCTTCCTGTTCCTTTTATGCTATAGAACCTTCCTTAATTGGATGTCTGCCCTGTGATCCAAATGACTTCAGAAACAGTGTTCTTGTGGCAAAATCCCTGCTTTTGCACAAAAAAGTAGTGATTTACTTCTTTCTATTAACTTTTTTTTATCTTATTTGTTTTTAA